GGGGGGGCGCGGAGGATGGGGGGCGTGGGTTCCTCTGGGAGGGTGTCTGCGTGTCCTTGAGGGGTGTGTGATATGACCCTTTCGGGGCAGGGGTGTTCCCCGACTTGCGTGTCTTGGCTGGGGGAGGGGAAGGAGTAAAGGAGGCCTACGGACCGGAGCTTCCCAGCCTCGCTCCCTGGGGATGTCCTGAGCAAGGGTTGTCCCGGAGGGAGGGATGTGTGGGCCACGGTGGGGATTGTGCGTGGGGACAGGCGAGGTGGGTGTGTTGGGTGACATAGAGGAAAGGGCAGGTGTGTAAAGCTGGGTGGGAAAATGTGAGTCTAGGACAGGTGTGTGTGTGTGGGTCTGTGTGGGCCCTGCAAGGCCTGAATATGTGACATTAGGGATCATGACAGGATAGAAGGTGTGTGTGTGTGTGTGTATGTGTGTGTGTGTGTGTGTAAGAAACAGGACTAAATAAGGACTGGGCTCCACGTTTGAGACCCTCAAGGAGCACATGTGACAGGGGACAGTGCATGCTTGTCACCCCAGAGGGGCTGTGGTGGACCGTGACACATGAGTGAGAGGGTGTGTGTGACATGCAAGGGGGTGTGTGGGGGACATGAAATGGGATGGCCCTGGGCTTGAGCCAGGAGAGGCTGCGTGGATCAAGGAACGGGTTTCTGTGTGTGTGATACAAGCATGCACGGGGCGGGTGGGACCAGAAGCTGGTGAGGGGATGTGACAAGAAAAGGGTGTGGGTGTGACTCCAGAGAGGCTGTGGCTGGGTCTGACACATGGAGGTGTGCAACAGTGACATCAGAGGGGGTGTGTGCGACAGGGGAAGGTGGGTGTATGAGAAGGGAGGGGCTGGCCTTGTGGGTGAAACGCACGAGGGTGTGTAACGAGGAAAGGGGAGGACTGTCCCCCAGGAACCAGGACCAGGGGAGGTGTGTATGACACCCTGGGGGGCAAGGTGCAACAAGGGAAGGGTGTGTGTGAAAAGGCTGGTGTGTGACACCAGAGATGTGGAGTGATTCTGTGTGTGTGACAAGGGACAGCATGTGTGTGCGTGTGTGTGTGTAAGGTAAAAAGGTTTGATGTCACAGAGGTGTGTCTGTGACACAAGAAGGGCCCTTTCTGTGTGTGACCGTGGAAATGTGTGGTGGACCAGAGAAGCCAAGCTGGGGACCAAGCGCATGCCTTGCTGGTGGGGGTGCAGGGCTTTGGGGGTTCTGAGCCCAGCACTCCAGCTCCCTGGAAGGAGGGAGACCCCTGAGCAGACAAGCCCCACCCCGCGGTCACCTTGGCCAAAATCTCCACTTCCTCTGGCCTTTTCCTCCGGATGGGAAAGGGATGGCCTCCGGCAGAGTGCACCCTTCCCTTTGCCTGGCTCCGGGTGGGTGGGGCGAGGGCCTCCCACCTCCTTCCCTAGATGAATACCAGCCTGTCCATCCAGGTAGGGCAGGATCAGGGACCCCCTGGATGCCTGGGAGGGTGTCCAGCAGAAATTGGAGGAAAGGGAAGTTGGGGGAAGGGTAGGAGGGAGTTTCCTGTCCTTCTTCCTGCAACCCCACCCCCAGCACACACATGAATGTGTCCCCGCCAACTTCCTTCCCTTCTTCCTGCCCCACTGCCATTCCCAGTCCTGGAGAGGATCAGGGACCTCCTAGGTCCCTGAGCCAGCCTGGCTGACCAGCTCTCTTCCTTGGGGTGGGGGCTTCCACCCTGTCTTAAAGGGGCTGAGATGCTCCAAATCTGATGGCTCGCGGCAGACTGTAACAATGCTGCTGCTAAAGACTGTCACCTTCACCTGCATGGCCCCTACTGTGAGGCAGGCTCTGAGACACAGTGAACTTCTCAACAGAACCCTTGGGAGCTGGGGATGTGGCTCAGTGGTAGAGGCTAGGCTGTGCTAGGCCCCGGGTTCAACCCACAGCACTGAAAAAACAAACAACCAACAAAAGAACCCTCGGGAGACATGCTTTGAACTGCTTTTTCACAGATGAGGAAACTGAGGTTCAGCAAAATGCAACCACTTGCCCGAGGTCACACAGCTCCTAAGCCCTGGGATGCTAGTTCCAGGGCACATGTACTTGCCCGCTGGGCTGGCCTGCCTGTCTTGCCCGTGATGAAACTAGGATGAGCCTATAGGGACCATCTCTTCCAGGTGTCCTCCAGTTCCCTCTCCAGGGCACCCTTGGGGAAACTGAGGCCAGGAGATGCAAAGGGATGGAAATACTCAAGATCAGGGCAATCGAGGGTCTAGGGCTTTGACCTCAAAACCAAAGACTCCTTTCAATAATGGACCTTCATACAGGGAGGCTGGGTCAACCCGTCCACTTTTCCAAGGTTCAGTGTCCCCATCATCTGCCAAATGGGGATCTCACAGTAACCCTAGTGATGATGTAATAATAATTACCAATATTCTTGTTTAATGCTTTATATGGAATTTTATTTAATTCTCTCAGTGCTTTATAATGTGATGATGATGATGATGATGATAATAATAATAATAATAATAAATTATAACAATGGCTAAATCACAGTTACGGTGCTAAAATGTGCCAGAAAGTATTATGGAATGTGCTTAACACAGATCATTTAATCCTTACAGCAGTTCTATTCTATTACCCATATTACAGACGAAAAACTGAGGCCCAGAAAGGTCAAGTTCCTTGCCCATGTCTGTTGATAAGAGGCAGAGCCGTGATTTGAACTCAGCAGGCCAGCTCCATGGTGTGGTTACACACTATAGTGAACCGTGTGTTCAGATAGGGAAACTGAGGCTCTCGGTGGTGAGGAGCTTTTCTAGGGTGTCACAGCAAGTAGTGGCAGACTGGATAGAGCCAGCTCTTGCCCTCACTGCCAGCCTGTGCCTCCTGCTTGTTCCTGGGAGCGATGGGAGGAACAGAGAGATGGTGGCTGTTCTGACTTCTTAGCACTAGTCTTCTTCTGGGAAGAAGGGGGAGGCATCAGGGCAAGAGGGCTTGGCCAAGAGGTTGAGTGGAAACCTGGTGGGGGAGTCATCTGAGAAATAAAGGACCCCTGTCTGGTGGGACAATAATAAAGAGTGTCCCCAAAGTAGATATCATAACTCCTAAGCTGCAACTACAACTGTCCCCATGACCTGACTATATTCCAACCTCTTTTGCTCCCTTGGCCACCAAAATACAGAAGGAAAAAAAAAATACTCATTTCTTTTACTCCAGACACAGCCTACAGCAGCCAGGTCCTACCTTTCATACTCTTTAACACAAAGACAGTGTCACCTGGGCAGGGCCCTCGAATGAGCCCTTTCAGTGTTCAACTCTGTGGCTGTCAGGTGCTTGGCAAGGGACCCTCAGGCAAGTTATTTTGTGGCTCTGAGCCTCAGTTTCCCAGTGGGGAAAATGAGGACAGGAAGATTGACCTCTTTGGTGGTTGGGTGCGTTCAGTGAGATTGTGTATGTCAAGGGCAGGGCACGCGGCCTGGCCGGTGGTAGTTGCTCTGGATACAATAGCCATCTTCGTTGTTGCCATCAGTGCCACTAAGGATGGGATAATATTCTGTTTTTTTCTGCCATTGAGTAGAGATTCACCCCAAGGAAATCACACCCCTGCACCCTCCTCTCTGTCGGTGACAGCCGCAGCTCCAGCCACCGTCCCACCTTTCCTCTCCCCATCCCTACAGAAGTGTGGTCCAGTTGTTCTGCGTTTTGCACACAGACAAGCACATCAGCCTTTACAGAGAGACTCTCCACTCCCGCACCACACCCTCACCATCTCTGTCTTTCACCAGTGACATCCCCACATGCTCCCAATGACAACGCCAGCCTCACACCCCAGCCTCTTCCTAAAAGTAGAACACACCAACTCTCCCATTCCCGGCCCTCAAGCAACAGCGGGCACCTAAAACAGCACCCCAACTTTGGTTCCTCCAGATGTATTGCCACCAGAAACAACTCCTTCACGACACTCAGGTCTTGGGCTCCACTTTTGTCCTCAGTGATCTCCACACAGATCCAAGTCCCCCACAGGGTCAACTCTATGACAGTCACACTGAGACACCCCAAATCTCTTGGGTGGAAAGACATTATTTGCGGGTGGAGAGGAGTACTGGTGGGTTTTTTTGGAGGCCTCCAGAAGCATCCCAAAGGGAGGTAGTCACACAGGGGAGGAGGAGGCCAGAGACTCAGTGACTTGAAGGGGAAAGACGGCTCAGCCTCCTTCCAAGGTGAAAGTGCTCCAGATTGCGGAGAAAGGGAGACAGGCCCATCTGGGCAGATGAAGTTGTCATCTTCAGGTTGCCAGTCACTGTCACGGGGTCAAGGAGCTGTCTGGACCCCAAGAGGGAAGCTAAGAGAGGGCTGGGAGTGGGTGGGATGGAGTTCTGGCAACTAGATTCTGCCTCTGCAGAAGGAAGAACTTTCTCACAGGCGGAGAAAGTTCAGACTCGGTGGTTACATCAGGATAGGAGCCGGTGACGTCTGGGGACTCCGAGTTCAGCTGAGGTCATGTCTCTGCCCTTGCTACAAGGAAGGCTGGGAAATAGAGGCTTGGCCTCTCCCCAGCAGAGGTGGGATGCACATGCGGGAAACACCCCCAAACAGGAAGGATGTACTGGACGATTCTAAAAAGGACCAGAAGTAGGCTGATGTCCACTGTGGGGACTCTGGGACTTGGAGTTCTGAGTTTCTGCAGGCAGAAGGTCTCAGCTCATCCCTCTCCATAGCAGACTGGCAGGAGAGAGAAAGGACCCAGAAAGGTGTCTAGGAAGGAGAGTAGGGACAGGATGTCCATTTTATCAGCGAGAGGACATTTCTCCTCCAAGAAGCAGGTGAAGCCTGGGGCAGCCCCCTAGGGGGATCGGTGATGAAAGAAGTGGGGTATCCCCTCTTCCTCTACCTCTCAACAAAATCCCCAAGCCTTCCAGTAGTTTCCCCACTGATAGGTCACGCTGCACTGAACACTGTGATAATATTTTGCTTGTGTTCATGAAGTGGATGATAATAATAATGATAATAATGATATCTGACATTTCCCAAGCCTCTGTGTGCCCCGGATCATCCTGAGTACTCTCCATTTCATAGCTTGGTGAATCACCATGGCCCTGAGCAGAGATGCTATCACCTTCTCCATTTTATGGATGGGGAAACTGAGGCCCAAAGAGGCGAGGAAACTTGCTGGCAGCCATACAGCCATCAGTGACAAAATTTACAGCTGGTCTAGGGGAATGTCTGCCATTTCATATGGACATTCTCAGACAAAACTCAGAGGAAGCGGAGAATGGGGAGAGGGAGTCCCGGTTCTCTTCAGAGCAGATGAATGCCTTTCGCCCTCAAGAGAGGAGTGGGGGGGAGGAAGGGGAGAGAACATGAAGGGGTCCCAAATATTGCTGAGCACTCCCTCCCCATCTTCCTGAGCCTCTGTGACAGGTGTCGGGGTGGGGAAGAGGGGACACCTCTGTGAGCCCTGGGGAGAAAGTGAATGGAGGGGTCAGGATGATGGGTGGGGAGGCACCCTGGGGGTAGATCTCCTAATGGGCTTAACCTTCAGATGAAGCAGTTTTCAAAGAGGATTGCCCTGGGCTCAGGGAAACCCCTGTATTCCCGACCCCTCCCTACGCCTGCAGGTCCACATCAGCCCCACTCCCCACAGCCCAATCCTGACCAGTCAGGGACCCCGACCTTCACTCTTAAGGGAACAGGCGCCCTTCTTTACCTCCTCCTCCTCCTCCTCTTCTTCCTCCTCCTCCTCCTCTTTTCCTCTTCCTCTTCCTCTTTCTGGGGATGGAACTCAGGTAGGCAAGGTCTCTGCCACAGAGCCAGACCCCAGGCCCTATATTGGGATTCCATGTGAACCACTGAAAATGGGCTTTTTCTGCTTAAAAGAAAAAGATTTTTTTTTTAATTAGGGGATTGTTTGAAGCCTTAAGTTTTAAAAAGCAGAGTGGCCTGACCCCTTCCTTTTCCCAGTGTTCATTTGCGCTCTATCCATGTGGTCCACTGTGGACCTCTGTGATAAATTGCTCAGAAGACATAAAACAGGGGTCTTTCTCATTCTCAAGGTTCAAGGAAATCTTCCAAGAAGCAATATTTGGAGTCCTAAAGGCAAAAGGGAGATGGGAATGCTGGGAGAGAAAGTGCAAAGGCCCTGGGGTGGGAGGGAGCAGTGAACATTTGAGAAAAAGGACACTGAATCTGGTTCCTGAGGGGGAGATGAGGAAATGAAGTTGGAAAAGTGGGAGGAGCCAAATATAGTGTCTTCTACTGAAAGGGCTCCAGAATTTCTACCCTGGGAGCACAAGAGGCAATAGTTTGGTTAGACAGTAAGAGAGGTTAGGACTCGCTTGGAGGCTGCATTTTAAAAAGTGCGGTAGGTGTAGCCAGTTGGTCTATAAGAAAGAAAGACCAAAGCCCCAACCACTGTCACCACTTCTAGATCCCTCAGGGTGTCCTGGAACTATGGGTCTTCAGCTACCACCAGGGGAGGGTGTTAGGCAAGGGTGAGCCACAGCAGAACCGAATTGGATTGAAACAACCTGGCAACTGTCTCGGTACCCTGGGGCTGGTGCCCTCACTTCTCTGGGCCCCTCTGTGCCTCGGTTTCCTCTTGTGTAGAAATGGAGCTCACTCTTTGCTTCCCACGGGGGTGGGTTGGGGGGGCGTGAGGGAGCCATCAGAGCAGGCTTGCTGAGCACTGGTCAAAAGCAAGGGTTTGGAACATCTCCAGGGCTGGCCCTCCTCCACCTCCCACCCCAGCAGTGAGACCACTGTCACCTCCCCTCTGGACCATGGCTGTCACCTCCTCTCGGGACATGCAGCTCTTGCTCTTGCTTCTCACATCCCTCCAAGGCCCCCATCTCACTTGGAGTAAGAGCCCCAGATGCGGTCCAGAGCTTCAACACCCCCTAGCAGCCCCCTGCTCTCGCTCCTCCCACGAACCCATCTCCCCCCCCCAGCCAGACTCAGCCCTCCTTGCTCCTTTCCAACAGTCCACACAAAACTGTGCCACCCCAGGGCCTTTGCAACTTGCTCACCTGCCACATAGCCACATGGTCCTGTCCCTTCCTCTAGAGCCTGATGGTTCCCAACACAGACTCCGGGGCCAGGTTGAGTCCAGACCTGAGCCCCGCCCCCTCCTCTCTCTGAGCTTCAGAAACATCTTCACCTTCGTTTCCTCATCTGTAGAATGGATCTCTAAATAATGCTTCCCCCATAAAACCAGGGTAAAAATCAGAAGGACTGATATTTGTAAGGGACTTGGAACAGAGCCTAGTGCGTCCCAGGTGCTGTGGCAGCGAGTGATGGATAAGGAGTGGCACGCTCCTGGGAAGGGCTTTCCTGGCCTCTGTATCTGACATCACAGCCGCTACACCCTCCCGTCCCCTTTCCCTGCCTCTTGGACTCTCAGTACTTACGACCATGTGACATGAGTCTGTCTCCCCCTCCTGAAGAGTGTAGCTCTATGTGCTCTCGGCTGAATTACTGAAATTCTTTCAGCCTTATGTGCCCGCAAAATCAGGGGCTGGTTCCCCAAACTGGTGCCAAGCACAGAGTAGCCAGAGCTTAGGCTCAATTTCTTGAATAAATGAATGAATGAATGGATGGGTGAATGGAGCTCGGGCTGGGAGTTCTCTTCTTCCCCGCTCCTTTCACGGTGGTGCTCCTGTGTCACTGTGATTTCCCCAGCTACCCATGCTGGGGCCTCCCGGGAATGACTCCCCTCTACCCTGTGTGCTCCTGCAGAGGAAGGTGAATACTTCCTGAAGGTGCTCATCCCCAGCTACGCAGCTGGCTCCATCATCGGCAAGGGCGGGCAGACCATCGTGCAGCTGCAGAAGGAGACGGGAGCCACCATCAAACTGTCCAAGTCCAAAGACTTCTACCCTGGTGAGCCCTGGCCCGGTCTCTGCCCTGGGCCTCCCTCTCTTCCTCCTTCCCTTCCACCTGGGCCCTGGATGAGGAAGAAGGGCTCCCCTAGGGGCTGGGAGAATGATGGGGGGCCTCCCCTCCCTCCCCCCAAGGGAACAGAGCTGCCCCCAGCCCAAGCAGCCTGGCCTGAGCAGATGGGGGTGGGGGCAGGGCCAGACAATGGGCCTGCTGCATATTCATGGACTCATTTGCATGATGTGCTGGCAGATGTGTCCCTTCCCACACACCTGCCCCCTCGGGTCAGTTGGAGGAGCTAGGGTGGGGAGGGAGGCAGGTGTCAGAGTGTCCCTCAGGGCTCGGGGCCAGGCTTCCGTGTTACTGTACCCCCACTCTTTCCCTTTGGATTTGTCACCCCATCTTGCCCATCTCCATCTCACCGACTTTCTCCCCTCCATGGCTCCTGATGTGCCCCTTCCTCCTCCTGTTCCAGCTTCTCTCCTTCCCCTCCGCCTCTCTCCGCCTCCTCCTGCCCCTCCGTGTGCCTCTCTGTCTCTCTGTCCCCTCTCCTGTCCTCTGAGGCTGCATCCCTTCTGCCTGCCCCTTTCCCTCTCCCACCTCCCCCTTTTCCTTTCCCTCCACCCCTCAGGGTCGCCCCCTTTCTTCCTCCCCTTCTCTGAACTCTGCATTCATCCACTCAGCGACGCTTAGCAACACCTGCCATGGGGTCCTCTCTGCCCGTCCCCTAGTCCCCTCGCTGGCTTCTGCTCCCTCTTGCCACCTCTCCCTTTATGTTTCTTTCTCCCGAGTCTCAGCTCCTACACTCTGTTCTCTCCTCCCTCCCACCCAGCCCCTTCTCTGCTCCACTCTGTCTCCATCCCAATGTCCACAACCCTATATTTTTAAAGGTTCCTCTGCTTTCTCTAACCCCCCTCAATATTTCTCCATATCTCCCTCCCAAAGCCAGTGTCTGAGCTCCAACATCTAGGAATCCAGGGAAGGCCCCCAAATTCCATCTGTGGTCCAGCGCTGGTTCTGGTTCATTCTTAATCCCCTTGGAGTTTTTTTAGGTCAAACACCAGAGATGGAACACAGGGTTAGGATACATTCATTTCTCTCTCTCTCTCTCCTCACCCCCACTCTCACCTGCTCTCCCTCTCTTTCTCCTGTCCCCCCTTTCTCCTGCCCCTCCCTGCATCCTTCCCTCCCATGTCACTAAGTACCTTTGGCAAAGAGTTTAGAGAAAAATCTAGTGGCCCAGGCACAGCATCCCATTTTCTCTTCCGCCCTGGCCCAGTTTCCCTGCGCCTCTCTAGCCCATAAGATGTCGATAAGACTTCTGCTTAGGATAGTCATCCAGGGACACTTGGCCCCTGGATTGCATTCTGTGCCACGATGTCATCCGCTCCCAGCTCAATGATCTGCCCCACAAGCAGGCTGCTAAGAAACCCAGAAAATGGGACAGGCCTTGGTTCTCTGAGACCAAACACTTCACAGATGGCAACATGAACCAGGTCTCTCCCCAGCCCCTGGACAAGCAGCCGGTCCCCACTCCTGAGCTGGAACATCCAAATCATACAGCCTGTGCCAGCTCCTGCCTCGGAGATGCAGGGCACAGCTCCCTATAGTCTCAAGGCTTTTCCAGGGTCCACAGAAACACAGGAAGTGCAAATGCTACTGCATGAGACAAAGAGCATATTTCCCTCCTTTCCTGGGTGACATCCTTTCATTGGTTCATTCAGCAAACATCCTCTGAGCACCTTTCCATGCCAGCCCTGAGCTGGACAGAGATGGGGCACAGTGAGACTGAGGGTCCCAGCCTTTGTCTCTTGGACCTCATGCCTAGTCAGGAGACAAAGGCCACACGTGACAGCCCAGAGTGTCCAGGACTGGAATGGGGAAGCCCAGGGAGGTCAGGAAAGGAAGTCCAGACAAATCAGTGAGCTGTGAACTAGGGAAAGAGCAGGGAAGGACACTCCGGGAAGAAGAAGTCACACTTTAAAGGCTGAGAAGTCATTTGTTGCTCACTGTGGCTGAGGCCTAGAGAGCAGGTGACAAATGACAGTGGGAAAGCCAAGAGGGTCCTCTGGGCCTCACAGGTTCACACACACACCCACACACACACACTCACCCCAAAACCCTGCGCTGTGTCTGGAAGAACACACACAAAGGCATCCCCTTCTCGATAATGGATCCCAAAGCTCCAGGTTCAATCCTTCCCACCCATGGAGAAACCAAGACCCAGAAATAAGCAAGTGTCTGCCCAAGGCCTCGCAGACTGCTCCCCAGCCAGACTTCCCGGATGAGAACAGCTTCTGAGCACCCGTCTGTAGCTCTGGATTAAGTTCCAGGGGAAAAGCCCGACTCGAGCTGCTGATTGTCCTCACAGTTTTTATTAATTTATAATGTACTTGCGTCAAAGTACAAAAATCATAAGTGCCTCCTTAAATTCACACATATTCTTTCTTAACATTAAAAACAAAAAACAAAACTACAGTCATTTACTGCCCCCAACCCATACACTTAGAGCTACTCACTCATGAGCCCCCAAATCAGCAGCGGGGAGCAGAGTGGTTAAGACTCTATAGACTCTAAAGCTAGGTATCTGGGTTAAAAACCTAATTGTTCCGAGTGAACTTGGACAAGATCCAAACCCTTTCTGTGCCTCAGTGTCCTCAGCAGGAAATTGGGGGCCATAAAGCTGCCCATCTTGTATTTTAAGTGGATAAATATATGCAAGGGCTTAAAATGGTACCTGGTGCTTAGCCTTATATAATCACCAGCTGTTACTATGGACGATTTTTCAGAGTTTTACTGGGTCTCCTGAAAAACCCCTCAGACCCCAGGTTAAGGACTACAGGGGACAGGAGGTCACAGACTCACAGAATTGGAAGGAAGCCTGGCCACTGCAGCCAGGCTCTCCCTGGGGCCTCCTGGGGCTTCCCCCTCCCCTCTGTCCCCTGCTCCATCCCGGTTCCAGCCCAACCCACACCCTTTCCTATTTACACCCAGACCGAGGCAGCCTGCGCTGACTCACCCTGGCTCCGACCAAGCTATTGTTCTGGGTGGAGGGAGCAAGGGTGAGGATTGTGCCCCAGAGCGGGTGGGGGCTTTCAACTCCACAAGTGACCCTCAGGCAGTGACACCCGGGCACATGGCAAGGTCAGCATGCCAGGCTGAGCAATGGCAAGCCAGAGGTCAGGGTCGCAGCACCAGCACCCTGCACAGAAGTGCTGGACAGACAGTGGCACTCGCTGCCAAGTGTCCCAGACACAGGCACACACAGAACCTGGCATACCTTCAAGACCTTTTCCTTCAAATCCAGGGAGCTAACCCGGTCCTTCAGACAGAGCCCACAACCCTGGGGAGATGGACACATCCTCCCTTCACCCATCAAACACCGGCCTGGCCTCACTGTGATGGTCACATGCTCACACAGCCCGGTCACAGCCAGTCGTCTTTGTCCAGCTGTAATACACACTGGGACATACGCACGCACGTCACAAGCACACCTGCCATCCCAACAGTCTCACCTGAGCCGGCCCCTCTCTGTCTTTCTCTCTCCCCAAGCTCACACACGCCACTCAGAGGGTCCTGTGCACAGAGACACAAACCACACACCAGTCATCCAGAGAGTCTGTGAACACCGGAGGTGGGGACATGTTTCTCTTGCTCATACAGATGCAGACACACCCACCACCAATGAAGGGCACACCCCTCAACAGCCTCAGTGCCGCTTTGTGACATTCTTTGTTTCTTTCCCTCACACACACTCAGCTCAGTCTTACAAATAGTGAACAGGTCATCACTCGACACCAAAGTCTTTCCTACACACAGGGGTGCACCCAGGCCTTGTTACTGTGTGGCATAGGCTGTTTCTATTGCAGCCGCTCCTGTTCTTTCTCTTATACACACAAACACCGATTCAGGTGATCTAGCCTGTCCTGCCCAAGTACACACAAGCCCACACACCACCCACCCCAGGCAGCCTCACAGGTACACACACAGTCACAATGTCACCCAGAGTCTCTCTCCCCCACACATATACCCCAACACCACCCAGCTCCTTTTTCCTGAGCCCTACCCGGAACACACACACAGAAGTGAGGAGGGTGCCCAGGTCAGAATCGCAGCCCGAACCTGGAGGGTATCCAGCAAACACAGCACCCCACTCCCCTTTCCCAGCCCCTCAGGCTCCAGGGCTCCAAGAGTTGCCTTTGACCCAGGGGCTCTTCCCTATCCACACCCCTGCCCTCCCCCACCCCTCAGCCCTCCATCTGGTGGGTCCAGGCAGGCACTCAGGCCTCTCTTCTGCCTCCCCCATCCCCCAGCCCTTCCCCATCCTCTCCAAAAGCCCAGAGGCCTGCGCTGCAGGCTTTCAGGGGTTGCCATGGCAACGGGGCCTCGTCCCTCATCCCCCTGGGGGTGGGCTGAGGACCTGGCCAGCCAGACCGATAAGGGGGTTCCAGTTACTGTGGCAACCGCTGCAGGCCTGAGTGCTCCGCTTCTAGAAGGAGGGGGGCAGTGAGTGAATGGTTGCCAAAGCAACCGGGGAGCCCGCAAGAACTGGGAAGAGGCAGCTGAGCCCTGTCTCCCCTGCCCAGGGCTGCTGTGGGCATCCTGGAGCACTTAAGCATCATTCTTCCATTCCCCGGGGTTGTTTTAGGGGAAGGAGATAAAGTGTAGATTATAAAACAAGGATTCCATTCATTTTCCCAGTTACCCATCGTGGCCTGAGTACCCGTTCCAGCTTGCCCAGATTCACTGTGTGGCCTAGAAACAGGTCCACTCCCTGGACCTCAGTTTTGCCCTCCGTTAAATGGGGCCTGTCTCTCAGGAATGTCCCCATTCCTGTCTGATGAGTGTGCCCTCTCTCTCCCTTGCTCAACAGGAACCACAGAGCGGGTATGCCTAGTACAGGGCACAGCAGAGGCCTTGAATGCTGTGCACAGCTTTATTGCCGAGAAGGTCCGAGAAATCCCTCAAGCGATGACCAAGCCTGAGGTGGTCAACATCCTTCAACCCCAAACCACGATGAACCCCGACAGAGCCAAGCAGGTCAGCTGGGGCAGAGTGGGCTGCTGTAAAGCTGGTGAGGTTCAGGAGGCAACATTCCTCCCAGATGCCTGCAGAGAGTTCGAACCACTGGGACAATTCCCATTTTTAAAAAAAGTTTACCAAACACATGCCAGTGGTTCATATTATGAGGGAGTCAGCGCTACTAGTCTAGAAAGGAATTCAGGCCACTTGGAGCGGGCTTGATGCTGAAGGAGTGAAGAAGGCCTAGGGAGAATTTGGCGGGGACCCTCCCACTCATCCACCCTTCCTGAGATTCTCTAGATCCTCCTCTCCCACCTCATCCCATTGTCTCTCTGAGCAACCTGCCTCCGACTTCCTGTACTCACCGGAAGTGACCTCAGTGACAGCCCATTCCAAAAAAGTTTAGAAATGGCCTCTTATTTTCCCTCCCTGATAATTACCGTTATGGGGGCCGACTTGGTGCTCAGTTAGCGAGAGAGGGGGCGGGTCCCTGTCCTACTCGGCCCTCTCCAGGAAGGGCTGGGAGCGGGGAGGGCAACGCCCCTCCGTTGCCTCAGTTACCGGGCAGCGGTAGGGGCGTGGCAGGGAGCGGACCAATCGCTTCCCGAGCCTCTCTGGTTGCCATGACGACGGTTCCCCTGACCAGGTGGGCTCCCAGTGAAGCCCTTAGTGGCGGTCCTGACCCGCAGTGGGCCAGGGGAGGAGGAGCACGGGGCTGGCTGCGCGCTCCCCGTTTTCTCTGCCCCCTCACTCCCACGTACGTGCGCACCTAATGCGAAAGGAGAGAGGAGCCCTGCGCCGGCGGACAGGCGGCTGTCGGGAGTTCCTTCAAGTCCGCCTAGAAAGTAAAGACTGAGGCCAGGCAGCTGGGATTCTTGGATCCTGGCATTACCCTGAGGTGGGGGAGACCATGAACCTGAGTTCCCGCAAGTTCGTGGGGACATGGGGGACCGAGAGCCTTGGAGGAGCGCTGCCGGGTAGATCGCTCCCCAAAAAGGACTGCGGGCTTGGGGCAGGGAGCGCGGCCGCTGTCCTTGGTGCTGAAGCGGCTCTACTCCTCACGCCCTGCCAGGCCTCTCCTGAATCCCTTCCCACCAGCAGAGCACAGCTTGCTACCCACAGCTTACACAGGCGAGAGGATTGCCTCTTTCCTCCGCCTCGATCGTGGCCACAAGGGACTCAGGGTTCATCGAGAGTTTGTGGATGTTGCAGGGAAAATGGGGTCAGCACCATCTGTGCCTCAGCCTTCCAGCGCCTCCCCCTAATCCACAGGAACTCACACAGCAGAGTCAAGAGGTTACAGAACCAGGATTTATCCTCGGCCTTGTTATTCGAGGGTTCCAAAGAATGAGAGAGAGAATGACTGAAGGCTCAGACTCTGGAGTTAGATGTCAAACTGAGTCCTACTCTTTCTTACTTCCTGACCTTGGGCAAGACTTGATTTCTCCATGCCTTGTTTTTCTCATTTGTAAAATGAGATTCATTATGGTGCCTACTTAAGGGTGGTGGTTAATGTTCATTGATGTTTGAAAAGTACTTGGCATGTTATGGCATAGAAAGTTCTTCCCCCCACAAAAAAAAAAAAATCCTTAGCTGTTGTTATGTCTATGGGATATTTTAGTCAGAAGATAATGTCTCCTCCTTTTCTGCCTTGGACCTGCTATGTTACTCAGGGCCCCCTGCCCTTCTGTAGGCCTCAGTTTCTCTTTCTTTACAGTGTAGCATCTGGGTCAAACCAGGGATTATAAACTGAAATGCCTCCAAGAAAGGGAACATAAAAGATTAAGGACCATGGGCCCTCTGAAGAGGGGACAGTCACTGCTCAATTCCACCCTGTCCATTCTTGTCCTTTGGGAACATGGACAGTGTTTCTATGTCCTCCAAACTTTTCAAAATAAGCCACAAATCTCTGAAATCTACTGTTTTAAAAAGGTTGGCTCAATTTTTAAAACACTATGAAAGTCAAAGAAAATATGGCTATGGTCTGGCTGTGGCCTTAGGACCACCAGTTTACCACCTCTGGGCTGAACAAGTTGTTCTCAGCCCTGGCTAATATGGTAGCTTAGCATTCAGATTCCAAAGCCCCACCCCAGAACCACTGGGTCAGAATTTCTGAGAATGAGACCTGGGGTCAGATCCTGACTCTACTACTCACTCCTGTGTCACCCTGCACAATTTACTTACCCTCTTTGTTCCTCCATTTCCCAATCTAGAAAATGTGATAATAATAGAATTATAACAAACCTTATAGGTTCATTGTGCAGTCTAAGTAAATTACTATTCAAAAAAAGTTAGAAAAATTCCTAGCAAATTCTAAGTCCTGTGTTTTCTGCTGCTGCTGTTAGTGTTTGAAATTTTCCTTGGAATTGCAGATCATCAGAGAAGATAGTCTCTGTGTTCCTCCTGCCTTTAAACCTCCTGAAGTTCTATGACCGTTATTTCAAGATTCTAGGCTTATATCCTAAGATTCTACCATTCTAGCATTCTGGATTACAAGATTCTATGGTCTGTACCTGCAGCTCTCTCTAAGATGCTATGATACTACAATTCAGGGTCTATCATAAAGGCATCTGCCACTTTCTCGGGGCTTCCCATGTGCCAGGCATTGAGAAGTCACTTTATAGTCCCTAATTAATTACACAGGGCAACTGAGGTTATGCTACTGTTGGACATGAGGAAACTGAGGCACAGAAAGGTGAAAGCATTTGCCTAAGGTCACACAGAAGTACCAACTACAATTGGGACCTCGCTCTGTTGAGAAAATAGCAAAACAGTTAACATTGACTGAATGATTACCTTGGAGCAGGTCACCCATATCTCATTGAATGCCTGTCACAACTATGAATCAGGAATCATATGCCCATTTTACAGATGTAGAAAAGGAGAGAGTAGTAAAGGAACTTCACTAAACCATGCATATAAAATATCTATATTCATGTGATTTTTATTAAATTTATTGTAAACTAATGCATAAAAACATAAGAACTGGACATATTAATGGGATGCCATGTACATGTATACATTATATACTATTTATAGTCAGTTTAAACATATCTATCTCCTCAAACATCTTTTCTTTAAAGTAAAAATATTCAAAGTCCTTTCTCCCAGCTTTTTAAAAATATTTTTTTAGTTGTAGATGGACACACCGCCTTTATTTATTTATTTTTATGCTGTGCTGAGGATCAAACCCAGTGCCTCATACATGCTAGGCAATCACTCTGTCACTAAGCTACAGCTCCAGCCCTCTCCCAGTTTTTTGAAATATACAGTACATAGTTGTTATTCACCCATAAGATTGTCGGTCATTTTACTGAGACATAATTCACATACCTACAACTCACCAATTTGATGGGTACAGCCCAGTGGCTTTTGTTATAGTCACAGAGTTGTGCAGCCATTACCACAATTAATTTTAAAGCATTTTCCAAACCTTCAAAAGAAAAATTTTTGAGGAATCAAAACCAGAGCCTTGCATGTGCTAGGTGAATGCTCTACCACTGAACTGTCTCTCAAGCCAAAAAGAAACCTTCCTAAACTCAACCTCCCTCCTCTCCAGCCAACCCTTCTCTGTCCTCATGCCACCACTAATCTACTTTCTGTGTTTGTAGATTTGCCTATTCTGGACACATGTAAATGGCATCATAGACTATATGGTCAACCATCACTACCATCTAATTCCAGAATGTTTCCATCATCCCCAAAAGAAACCCTGTTCCTGTTAGCAATCACCCCCAGCCCCTCTCTCCCATCCCTTGGCAACCAAGAATCTACCTTTTGTCTCTGTGGGTTTGCAAAGTTCTGGATTCTAATTCTTGTGATTAGAATCCTATGTGGCCTTTTGTGACTAGCTCCTTTCACTTTGCATAATCTTTTCTAGATTTATCCTGCTGCAGTATGTATTATATCAGTACTTTATCTGAATTTATTGCCAAATAATATTCCATTGCATGAATATACCACACATTTTATTTATCCCATGAGACCTTTTTAAATACAGGAGAAATAAAACAAAGGTTATTTGTTATAAAATCAGATGAATTTTAATTTGTAAATATTCAACAGGGACTGCAGTAGAAGACATTGTAAAATAGTCTCAGTTCACACCCAGACATAACTGAGCAGTGCAGCTACTGAGGCAAAGTGACGTGGCGTGGAGTCCTGGAGACTTAAATGACAACAGTGGCATTCCTACTGATGTCAGGGTTTTGTAACACAATGGCCTGCCACTGGAAAAGTTCAGAACAAAGCAATCTCCCCTTGATTTACTGATGATCTCCATAGCTCAGAAATACTTAGCATGTATCACGGAGTTCTGTTCAGGACCCAGAGATTTATAAACTCTGGCATTTCACCAGCATGAATGTGCAACAGGACCTAGGACAGTTCTCCCCTGTGGGAAAATGACCTTCAGCTGTGGGCTGTAGACACTGAGGGCCCTCTCCATTCCATGTCCACATCTGCCCCCAGTCCTCACAAACCAAGACTGCCCCTCACAAATTGCCCAATCCTCCTCCATAACTGGCTTGAGGGTGGAAAGGGGAGGCAGAGGTGTGAGCTCTAGTAGTGGTTGTGGGGGGTGGAGAATCCACAGATCTAAGGGAACATGGGAAGGATTTTTGAGAAGGAGAAATCTGTAGGCAGAAATGCTCTTTGAGGTTGCTGGGGATGTAGCTGGGTGGTAGAACGCTGGCCCAGCATGCCGGAGGGCCTGGTTACTATCCCCAGCCAAAGAAAAAAAGAAAGGGAGGGAGGGAAGGAAGAGGAAAGCTGTGCTCTTGGAGATGTGAAAGGGATTCTGGGTTTTAAAATATCCCCACTGGAATCAAGGTTGACCAGATTTGCAGCTGCTCGGATAGGCAGGTAGCTGATGGGTGAGCTGCCCTGCAGCTGAAAAAGGAGCCACTATCTTCAAATGAGAGGCCTGCTTTGGAACTCACTGCCTTCTCAGACCTAAGGCTTTATGTTACCTTAATTTTACAGGTAAAACCACTGAGTTTGCAAGCTAGGGCTGCCATAATGAAATACCAAAGACTAGGCATGGTCTCTCCTCTTTGTGTGTTTGTGTCCTGGTCTTCTAAAGACACCAGTCAGTGAATGAGGGACCACCCTGACGATCTCGTTTAACTTCATTATCTCTTTAAAAATGCTGTCTCCAAACAGTCGCATTCTCAAGTACTGTGGGTTCCAATTTTGACATAAGAATTTGCAGGGGGAGGGGAAGACACAGTTCAGTCCAGAACAACAAAGAGGTTAAGTGAGGAGACTGTGTCATAGAGTGGAGAACACAGGAAGCTGGGAGGCTGGACCTCAGCTCTTTCACTATCTGGGTGACCTTGGGGCAAGTCCCTTTACTTCTGAAGCTTCAAGTGACTCATCTGTAAATGGAGACTTGAAGCTTTTACTAGGCATCAATCAGAGTGCTCAACAACAGAAGGTGGGGTCCTGGTGCAAGCTGGTGTGCATCCTGGCAGGCCCCCCAGTGGTCAGCCATTAAGATTTTAGGTGCATAAATAGGGGAGGTACCTGGGGCCCCAGGGACATGGGACAGGGTGGCCGAGGGGCTACTGAGAGAACCTACAATACCAGTTATTCATTTACCAACCATTGTGGAAATTTTTCAGTATTTTTAGCAGCTAGTGGGCGCATCTTGGTACCTATTAAGGGGGCTTGCTGGGTTTGCGTTAGGGAGAACCGGGGCTGATTACCAGCACCACAGCGGGGATAAAGGCAGGGGTGAGGGCTTGATCTTGGACACTAGAAAGGAATGCTAGGAAGGAGGAGACTCCTGGGTCTCCAGTGCCACCATGAAGACCCTCCCTCTTTTCCCCCGACACAGGCCAAGCTGATCGTCCCCAACAGCACTGCGGGCCTGATCATCGGCAAGGGGGGCGCCACGGTGAAAGCGGTCATGGAACAGTCGGGTGCGTGGGTGCAGCTGTCGCAGAAGCCCGAGGGCATCAACCTGCAGGAGCGCGTGGTGACGGTCAGCGGCGAACCCGAGCAGGTGCACAAGGCTGTGAGCGCCATCGTGCAGAAGGTACAGGAAGACCCCCAGAGCAGCAGCTGCCTCAACATCAGCTACGCCAACGTGGCTGGTCCCGTGGCCAACTCCAACCCCACCGGCTCGCCCTACGCCAGCCCGGCCGACGTGCTGCCGGCTGCGGCCGCCGCCTCCGCCGCCGCCGCCTCCGGCCTGCTGGGGCCCGCGGGGCTGGCGGGCGTGGGAGCCTTTCCCGCCGCGCTGCCCGCCTTCTCAGGCACCGACCTGCTGGCCATCAGCACGGCGCTTAACACGCTGGCCAGTTACGGCTACAACACCAACTCCCTGGGCCTGGGCCTCAACTCGGCCGCAGCCTCCGGCGTCCTGGCCGCAGTGGCCGCCGGTGCCAACCCTGCCGCCGCCGCCGCAGCCAACCTCCTGGCATCCTACGCGGGTGAGGCCGGGGCCGGGCCAGCCGGAGGGGCCGCCCCGCCGCCGCCGCCGCCACCCGGATCCCTGGGGTCCTTTGCATTGGCCGCGGCGGCCAATGGCTACCTCGGGGCCGGGGCAGGCGGTGGGGCGGGTGGAGGAGGTGGCCCGCTGGTGGCCGCGGCTGCCGCGGCAGGGGCGGCTGGGGGCTTCCTGACCGCAGAGAAGTTAGCCGCTGAGAGTGCCAAGGAGCTGGTGGAGATTGCGGTGCCTGAGAACCTGGTGGGAGCCATCCTGGGCAAGGGGGGCAAGACGTTGGTGGAGTACCAGGAGCTGACAGGCGCCCGCATCCAGATCTCCAAGAAGGGCGAGTTCCTGCCTGGCACGCGGAACCGGCGGGTCACCATCACGGGCAGCCCCGCGGCCACGCAAGCCGCTCAATACCTCATCAGCCAGCGGGTCACCTATGAGCAGGGGGTGAGGGCCTCAAACCCCCAGAAAGTGGGATGAGGCCTGTGGTGTGTGCGCCCACCCTTCTCCCTCCTCCACCTTCTCCTCCTTCCCTCCGCCTCCCCCAACTCCTGACCTCAGCTTGGTTAGTCCTGCTCCTCATGGGATGGGGCTGGGGTAGGCCTGACTGCACCCTCCCCTCTGGTAGTCATAGGCAGGATTGAGCGATGGCTGGGGAGGGGGCTCCTGAGCCCCCTCCCCAGCCCTGAGCTGACCCCTCCCCTCCCTGTGCTTGACTGGGCCTGACCCTCCTCTCCCAGGGCCCAGGTCTGTGTGATATCTGTATATATTGCATTTTGTTGATTTTAATAGAAAACAAAGCGTTATTTTCTCTTTCTTTCCCTCCTTTTTTTCTTTTTTCTCCCTTTTTCTTTTTTCTTTTCTTTTTCTTTTATTTTTTTGGTAAGGATCCCCCCTTTGTAACTTTTTGTTTCCATCTGGGAGGAGGGGAGGGTGCCTCTGGGTCACTTGGAATGAGGGGCCTCCCCAAAACACAACAGCCTGCCTCTCCATTTTCAGTTCTAGATCCCAGGGAAGTGATGGGAGTAGAGGTGGCCAAGGTGTCTGAGCCAAAATGGGGCACTTGGAGCAGGGACCCCAGAGGTCCCAGACTTCCTCAGCTACTCTGTCCCCACTGGAGTTGCCCCTTCTGGGTGGGATTTTTACCCTTTGGTTGTCAGGTTGACCGGGCTCAGGGATGGTGCTGGGGAAGGAGGTCAGCTCTGGGGTTCAGCTGGTCCTGTGAGCTTACGAGAGGCTGGAAAACCTTGCTGTGTCATCTTTGTGGCTTTTCCTTGAGTAATGGAAATAAGGGTCCCTGTTGGATTGTTGCTGAGTCAAGTACTTTCTGGGCACTCCATATGATGTCACAGGAAGCAGTTCCCCAGAAGTCATTTCCTGTGATGATGAGAGACAAGTACTTATGAGGTCTCAATGAGCCCTTTCTTGAAGGTCACTTCAGTGATGATATCAGGGGGTATGGACTTCCTGTGGAGTCTCAAGGTCACTTCCTGTGATGTCATTGGGATGCAGCATGTACTTCCTGTTTCGGACAATGGCTAGTCCCTGATGCTCCTTCTCCACCCACACTCCTCTTTGGTGGGTGTTGGACTGGGGGATCTTCCTAGGAAGAGAATAAAGGGTGGGACTTGGATCCACTCTGGAGGATTCTAAGGAGTAAAAACAAAAAAGAATACTGTCAGGGTCATCTCCATCCAGACACCCCAAGGCTATGAATTCCCCTGGCAGGGAGAGGTGGGAGATGGACCTAGTGAAACTCATTGCTGAAGACCCTCATCCCACCCGTGCCCTCTCTGCGTGCCTGTGTCTGTGTGGCTTTGTTTGGTTGACTCTGGTGAGCCATAAGTGCAGCTGTGCTGTCAGGCCAGCGTGGCCCTGTGTAGTTCGTGGAGCCATGGTTGGGTCTCTTGGGCCCCGAGGCTTCACGAGCTCTGGTGGTTTGGACTGGCCTGGTGGCTCTGAGCCTGCTGGCATACTTTGATGGTGTCTGATGGATCAGAATTTTTGGTGCACTCACCTTGAACACTGAGAAGCTAGAATATTCTAATGGAGCCAGGCAGCCCAGACAGTTGTTACAGGAGTGACTTGCTAAGCACGGTGGCTGCAGTCGGCTCTAAGGACCCGCCAATGGACTGAGAGTCAGGTCCTGACAACCGTTTAGACTAGGTCAGCTGAGACCCAGCTCTACCCTCCTCCACCTGCACCTCCTCCTTGGAGACCTCCGCCTCCTCCAATCCAAAACAGGGCCCTCCGTGCTCTGGTTCCATCATCAGCATCTCTGGGGGAGAGGCACCCCATGCCCACCCTCTCCCCCATCTGCCCCCCTCCTAGGTCTTCCAGACCCCTCTCCATGGCTTTGGGGGAATCTGGCCTCCTCATCTCTCTCTCCTTTAAAAAGGAGGGAAGAAAAGCCACAGAGACAATTCCTACCCCCTAAAGCCTGGGAGGCCCCTTTTCCTGCCCCTGCTAGAGAGCCACCCCCAAATCAAAATGTGAAAATCCCTAGAAAGCAATAGCCTTCGAGGTACCTTGCACTGAATTTCCCGCCCCAGCCCTTCCACCCAACAGGAGGCTGGAGCTTGGGCACTAGGGTGACTTTTTCCATGCCCTCGTCATCTCCAGGGTGAAGGGCAGACCCCATTTCCTCCACACCCTCCTCCCACCTCCTATAGCTGCTGCCCCCACCTCTAATCTCCAGACTGAGCCCCGATGGAGATCCGAGTGCCAAAACAATTCTTGATATAACTTTGTACATATCTTCTACAGTTGGGGGCTGCTGGGGCTGGAGGTGGGGGCCACTCGTGGGCCATGCTCCCCTCCACCTCTCAGAGACCTTACAGTATTTAACAGTATCTACCCGCACGTGGGTATTACAGTATCTAGCTGGAATATCCCCCTATGAGCCCCCAGGCCCCCATGAGCAGGAGAAGGAGCCAGGAGAGGTGAAGTAGGTCTGGGCATGGGTGGGGGGGACAAAAGAGCTCATTTTCATATAATTTGCATCCTCAGCTTGGCTGCTCCTGCTTTCTATAACTCATTCGCTGGAGTCTGGGTCCCAATCAGCAGGATCCAGAACTCCTCTCACACAGACATGGCTCTGGAGGCTGGGCCTCCTGAAAAGTGTTCCCTTAGGTATCTGTGTGACAAGCGCCATCCCTATTCATATTTCTTGGGGACCCTCTACCCCACCAGCCAGGGCTATCTGAAGTGTAGTTTGCTAGCTCGGTGAACTAGTTCACTCACCATGTTGGTGAGTGGGGAGCCACGCATCTTTCCCCATTTTACCCTGGGAAATTCACTCCACCATCTTCCCCATCCCTTGAAAGTCCCTTCTGCAATCTGACCTCAATCTTTCGTGCTGCAGTTTGTCCAAAGGGGACACAGATGTGGGGTCAGAGACAGGAATTATTGGAAAACCCATTGCCTCTTTTTCCCCCCTCTCCTCCTGTTAGCCAATCAGAGATTCTGAATGGCCTCCTTGCACCCTGCTCTTCAGCACCCAGTAGGTGCTTAATAAGTGAATTGTCTCCCTATTCCTTCTCATCTGCCCTTCAGAACCTTTGCCTCTCTTTCTCTGGCTCCCTATGGTCTTCTATTTTTTCTTTTTGTGGCTCCCGTTGTCCTCTGTCCTGTCTCTATCTTTGCCTGTGTCCGTGTCCCCCTCTCCTCAACTCCCACTTTCTCTCCCCTAGTTTCCCCATTAAAAAAAAAAAGTGCCAAACTTCCTTGGAACTGAGCCGCTCTGGGGTGGGGGGAGAGGACCTTGGGCAGAGAGAAGGAAGCGGGGACCATCTCTCTTTGAGGAGGCCCCTAAGAGGCATTGAATAAGGTCTGTGGACACTGAGCTAAATTGGGTCCCCCTTCCTCATCCCTCTTGCCCTGAGTTTTTCTTAGAATCTTTATAAGAAAAAAAAAAGAAAAAAGAAAGAAAAAAAAACTCTCCTTTTCAGCTAACCCCTACCTTTTTGGATCCCCCAAATTCCACCAGCCGGGGAGAATCCCATTTGCCTCTTTCTGAGCAAATTTATAGAATTCTGGGAGGGGGAGACAAGTTCAGTCCCTCCTCTGCTGGCCCGAGGGGCGGTGCCAACTGGATGTGGAGAAGGACCTCAAAGCACTTAGGAGAACTAGGGGTTCAACGTGCCAAATTCACCTCCTTCATCCCCCGCCTCAGGGGGGCTCTGAGCCAGCCTGCCCAGCCATCATCTTCTGCCCTGTCCAGCCATCTCTACATGGGCAAGGAGGCTTCACTGCAATAACTGGCAGGGCAGGGAACCGAAGGGCAACAATTCTGCCATCCTTGTCTCCCTGACCCAGCCCTGGACTTGTAGGTGGGAATTCTGGGTGTCTCAATGGAGCTTGTGTTGAGTCGATGTATAGATTGTGGGGGACCTAAACTGGGAATATTAGGGTGCCACTTTTCTCCGAGTGGTATTTCTTCTCCCCTCTTGACTACCGAATCCTTCAGTATCCCCGTGTTCTGTTTCTCCGTCCTATTCCTCCCTCCCGCACGCACCCTTACCTTGTTTCCCATTGGTCGCCAACTGTTTGGGAAACAAGTCCCCTGCATCCAAGATTGCTGTTTCGAGACCAGGATTAGAGGTTGTGATAGACTGAGTGTTGGCAAAGGTATTCACTAAGTGGCCATGAGGATGGCAATGTGGGCGTCCGGGCTGCCCCCGCGGGGCACACCTGTCGGGACAGCCGGGTGGCCCTGCGCTGTTGGACGCTCACCTGCGCGGCGCCGCCGGAACCCAGGCCGGCCGTCGCGTAAGTGTGAACTGGATGTCACAGTGGGGAGAAGGGGATCGCGATACCCAAGTTGGGGCACGGCGGGCCAGGACTCCGGTCTTCGCTGTGGTGGAGTCTGGACACCCAGCCCTGCCATCGCGATCCCTCTCCGCCGCAGTCAGCGGCCTCTCGCCACCGCGCCGCTGCGGGTGTGTAGGGTCCGTGGGTCTCAGCGCCCTCCGCAGTCGCGTAGGGCATGGCTGGGTGGCAGGGAGGGAGACGGAAAAGTCTCTGTCGGGGATGGTGGTGGTGAAGGCTGCTGGGTTTTCACCCCTTCTCAGCCAGTCCAGGACACTCTTGTCTCCCAGAAGTAATCGGGGGAGACCGCCTAACCCCCCTCCCTCACCCTTTCCCCCCCACCCCACCCCCATCCCCCAAAACCACCAACCTCTCATCTTCTAAGTGACTCCATCACCACCGGCCACCGGAACCTGCGGCCTCATTGCTCCAGCCCGCCCCACTCGACCGTCAGACTCGCTCATCGAACTCTTTTTAATTAACCCTTTCTGTGTTCATCCCACGGAAAACTGTGTGTCCGGCAGGAGGAAAGGGGGGAGGCTAGGGGCAGTTGCTACCTTTCCTCCATCTCCTCCCACCGCCCATGCCTCCCCACCCGCACCCCATCCCATGCCCCACCCCCATCCCTCACCCTTAGGGTCCGCCCAGCCCTGGGGACGGAGATCCTCTTGAAGAATCTTTGCTATTTGGCTTTGTCCCTTTTAAAAGGCGGGTCCAGGGACGTGGCCTCCCTCCCACGGAGTGCTCACTCGGGCCCACCCACCCCCTTTCCCTTACTCGCTCCCCACGCCTTCATTGTAAATAGTCGCTTTTGTACTGGGTTTGAGCCAGGGGACGTGGGGAGTCATTTTTTTTTTCTTTGTGTTGGCATCTCAGGCCATTGGAGGCATGGCCCACATCCCAGTTCAACTGGGGAGCATCCCAAGGTGTGTCCCCTACCATCTCCAGTGTGCTGGAGTTCAGTATATCAGTATTTGTCCTAGAGGGCTGGGGTGCATGGATCCCCTGGCTGGGAGGGGGGAGAGGTGGGGAAGGGTGCAATCTGACGGGATGACTCCATTTTCCCCATCTATGAAATGGGTTCGTCCCCCAAGCTCCCTGCCAAGCCTCAGTAAGCTAACAGCGGAGTCAGAGCTCCATTTCTCTCCCCCTTTCTTCTGTTGGAGACCGCATGGGGGAGGGGGAGGGCTGTCTTTGGAGAACTGATTGTCACACTGTAGGAATTAGCCTCCCCCCGGCTTGTTCGCTCTCATGGAAAATGGGGGAACTTAGACCTCTAAGGTCCCTTGGTTCTCCTCATTCCTCACACTTAAGGCCCAAGTCCTGGGCGGGCCCCCACCTGCTGCCCAGCTCCTGATTCCATTTCTGGGAATGTGGGCCATGCCTCCAGTGCCTCCATCCCGCCCCTCTAACCGATTCCTCTCATCCTCTGCGACCAGCGCCGCCGTCCACTTCCTCCCCGCCACCTCCAGAAGCTCCTGGCTGGGGCCCACCGCCCTCTCCTCTTCCTCCCCCCATTGCCATGCCTGGGCCATGCCCAACCCACCCACCCACCCACCCCCAGTGTCCGTCGTGTGACCTAGTGCACCATGTATTAGCTTCCATGGCCCTCCTCCCGCCCCCACCACACCCCCTTCCCTCCCCCTTCTCCCTCGGCGACTTCACCTTTTTTTGCCGCGATAAACGCCATCTCAGCATCTGTGTCTAATGTTGTCTTTTTTGCTTGACATCACACACTCCTTCTTAACCCATCCCCTCCCCTCTCCCTCCTCCCTGCACCTCCACCCTCATCCTCAATCTTTCCCCTCTTCCCCCAGGGCTCTGGGCATCTAGGGGAGGAGGGCAAGGGTGGGGGGGACCCTGAGGATGGTCCCAGCCGGGAGGTGGGAGGGGTGATTGGTCTCTCTGGACTGGAGGAGCATCCAGAGCAAATGTGGCTGAGGGGAGCAAGTGCTCAAGCTTTAACCCCCAGAATCTCTGCGTCCAATGGGGGAAGCACCCCTCCACACACACTACCACAGTCCCCTGAGGCTCCCGCACACGGGGCACTGCAAATCCACACACAAACTCAAGTAGAACCAGGACAGCCCGGGGCTAAGGTGCTGGAGTCAGGTGAGATCCAAGTTGAGGTCCCTTGAGACTTTGCTCTTCTGAGCAAAGAGCACAGTCCCCATCTGTAAAATGGGGATTTTTTTTTTAAAAAATCATTATTTCTACATCACATGGTTTATGGTTGGATTCAATACATCATGCATTTTTTTAAAAAATTATCAAGCACCCAATCTGCAGAAGCCACTGTTCTAGATGCCAGAGATGAACAAAACTAACCCAAACATCTCTGCGTTCGTGGAGTATACATCTTATTGAAATCTGGAAGTTCTTTCTGCCTTAGCACAGAACCTGGGACATGGAACTAAAATTGAGGGGTTGCAAACCATCCGCCAGTGGGTAGGTCTGGCAAACAGTCTGTTCCTAACCCTGAACGATGTTTTATGTGAATTTGTTGCCAGCACTTAAACACTGGAAGATTTCTCCTGAAAACATGGGTTTTAAGATCCTCTTGAGAAATTTGACATGGCATTGTTGGTTTCAATTGCCACCTGGTTTCAATTGCCACCTGGCCATAATGGGCATGGGCAGCCGCTGCTCATCCCCAGTACCAGCAGACCTGCCCTGCTCGTTGGTGATACATGCTCACCCCTGGGTGGATTCGAGTTTGCAGCCCCTAAGTAGATGCTTAATGCTAATATCCTTACATTATGGAAGTGTCAGCAGTGCGGCTCAGCGGGCAATGTGTCACGCAGGAGGAAGGCTAAGTATGAAATGGAGACAAAAAAACTGGTGAAGGTTGTGTGGGGTGGGGCCAGAAGCTCGTTCTTGTGTGACCCAGGGTTATCTCCCATCCTCCCTTTGGGTCACAATCTCCACATCTAGAAAAAGCTCCCACCCTACAAACCTGTACTTACCTTCTGGAATATTCTAGAAGGATTTCGTGTGTGAATCACCCCATCAGCACCTGACAGAGAAAATGTTCAGCACATAGTAGTCACCAGAGACTCCTCCAGCTGAAAAATAACAATGACACAACTCTGGAGGAAGGAAGCCAAGAGGGGGGGATGGGAGGAAAAAGGACTGAAGATCCGAAAAAGTACAAAAAGGCAAGAGCAATAGGGATAAAGAGAGGACAGACGTGGAAATGAGCAATCTATTGCTTGGGGAGTATTGATGCATTCACTGCCTCATTAATTCAGCCAACAGACATTTATTGAGCACTTCTTATGTTCTAGGGGTAGGATGAGAATCATGACAAGTCAGAGCTCTTATATTTATAGCCCACAAACCATAGCCCCCACCAAACTCTCAGTGTGTAGTAGATGTTCAAAAGTCTACCACCCTGTGAGCCCCAGGCACCTGTGGTCCTGGCCTGTGACTCTCAAGTATTGCCTGGGATTCAGAAATATTGCCAAGCTGGGTCATTTCTGGAAGAGTAGAGAAATTTTCTACCAGGAAGCTGGGAACTTGGAAGGGATGTGGCAGGGGTAGTTTCTGTTCCGCTGTGTGACTTTGGGAAACTGTCATGACCCTTCTGGCCCAGGAGATGGATGGAAAAATGAGGTCAGGATGAAGGTAAGTAATGTGGGATTCCTCACTCCTTCAAGGCCCCTCCACTTTCTCCCGTGGAAGGGGGGAAGACAGTTGCAGAAGTGGGAGGCCTCTAGAAAACAGGCAAAGAAAGGAACCAGAGATGTTGTCTGGAAGAGACAACCTAGGAACAGGGGGGCTGGACAAAAGATGGGGGAGGAGGGAGCAGGAGACCCAGGCCAGGAGTAGGTCATTAAAAGAGGCCAGAGAATGGATGGATGGATGGAGAGGGGGAGGGGATGAAGAAGAGGAGGCAGAGACAGGAAAGAGATGAACATAAGGTTGCCAAATTGAGCAAATTAAAAAAAAAAAAACAGTATGTCCAGTAAATCTTGAATTTCAGGTTTAAAAGTGTACGTATGACTCATGCAGTATCGGGGCCAAACTTATACTAAAATATTAGTTGTTGCGTATGTAAACCCTATGTGTAGCTAAGTGTCCTGAACTTTATCTGGCAATCCTCTGCAAATGAGAACAAAGAGAAATATAGAGGTAAAAATAGTGCTAGGAGAACTGGCCAGAAGAGTCAGGGCATCCAGCCCACCAGCGAGCCTGGCTTAGGGCCCCTGACTCTGCCACTGGTCTCCCTGACCCACCAGCCCTAGTCTCTCTGTGTCCCTCAGCCTCCTGTCTCTCTGTCTCCAAGTCTTTTCCCCCTCAGTCTCTCTTCTTGCAGTCTTGCTATCCTCCCTCCCTCTATTACGCTTAGTTCCTCAGCCTCCACTATCCCTGGAATCTGCCTCCCATCTCCAAAGTGGTTGAGTCTTTGTTCTCATCCACCCAAGGTGTCCAGGGGAAAAGCCTGAGAGCAACTGGTAGAGAGGGGAGCCATTCAGAAACACCCCCTCCTCAGTCAGGGCTGATGAAGCCCAGAGCTGACCTCGACTTGGAGAAAAAGATGCATTCCTCCATAAGAATGCTCCATCCGCAGGCCTGCCTGGAGATTCTGGAGAGTCGGGGGCCCCTCTGCGTTCCCATCCACCCTCAGCCTTCACAGTCTCCTCTCTACCACTGCAGCACTCTGGGGAGGTTTCTGGACCCCTGCCCTTGCCTCTGCATCTCCCGTTCTCTGCCTCAGTTCATCTTCTGTATTTCTCTGGGTCTTCCTCTTTCCATCCCTCTGCCCCCTGCCTCTGGGTCCCTCTGTATCTCTGCAGGGTTCCTTCTTCTGTCTCTTCCGGGATGGCATCTGCGTGCCTTCCCTGTCTCTGCCCGTGTGTGCGTGCTTCTCTCTGCCTGTGCACCCATCATGGCTCAGTGGCAGCGAACAGCATCCACTCAGGACCAATATAAACAGAAAGGGGCACAAAATCTCTCAGAAGAAAAAAAAACTCTAGGCTGAGCCTCCAGAGTACTTCCAAATCCAGAATCCAGAAAGAGCCACCCAGGAGAGCTGCCGGTCCCCCTCTGTGATCAGGAAGCCGGTCGCTGGCTCCACAGCCTGGCCAGGATCACACTGGGACAGTGGCAGCCACAGGGAAGCCTCTCTCAAGCTCACCCAGGTTAGAAATTCAAGCTTCCTGCGAAGGCCCCTGATTGGTGGAACTAAACTCCAGCCCCAACCACATGGCATTCTGGGAAATGTAGTTTTAGCCTTCCAGCCTCTGCAAGCGTATGCTCTTAGGAGAGTGGAATAGTTAAGAAAAGGTCTCAACTTTCTCCCCATTATTGCAGGTGCTCTCTCCGTGTCCATCTCTATTTCTGTTCACAAGTGTTTCTCACTTTCAGTCTTTTTAAATCTTCTCTGTCCTCTTCCTTAGTCACAGGCTACATGATCAGTGCCAATCTTTGTATTCCTGTACCTTTTCCTCATCCACAGTTCCAGCTCTACTATTTGGGAGATCTCCCTCTGGACCTCACCCCATTCTCAGATGAACCCAAGACCCAGAGCCATAATGGGGAAGAGGAGGGAGAGGGAAGAGATGGGCACTTCTGGTTCTATAGAAAAGCCAGGAAGAGGACACACGCTTTGGTGTCTCACCTGCTCTCCCTGCAGATGGGGAGATCCAGCACTGCAATGTGAACTTCAAGAGTCTGGTGAGGTCCTGGAGTGAGAGCTGGGGTGGCTGCACAGGTGGATTGTGATTTAGATTTGGGACAGAGCAGGGACCTTAGTCAATCGGATGTCAATGACCATTCCACCTGCTCCCTGGAAGCTGAGACAACAGATTTCTCCATCCTGGGGAACTTATACTCTACTGGGGAAAATAACAAAAAAAAAAATCAATAAGTAAACCATAGAGTACAATAGATGATAATACAGGTTATGAAGAAAAAAAAATGAACCAGAGAAGGGGAACAGAATGCTGGAAAAGAAATTCCCAATACGATGGACAGGAAAGGCTTTGCTGAAATCGTGACACGCCGTGAAGACTTGAAGGAAGGGTGGGGGTGAGTGAGTGATATTTGAGGAAAGGGCATTCCAGGCCAGGTGAAGAGCAAATGCAAAGACCCTGGGGTAGGATATACATGGAATATGTGTGGGACAGGGAGGAGGCAAGAGTGGTTGGAGCAGAGTGAACAAGGGAAAGATGAAGTCGGAGAGGGGACAAAGGGGAACACATTATTTACAACTTTGGGTGTCAATGTAGAACTTTGATTTTTTTCCTCTGAAACAGGAGACACAAAAGGGTTCTGAGAGATGCAAGTTGACTCAGGTGTAACAGGATCCCTCTGGCTGTTGTATGGGGAGCAGTCTCTAAGAGATGGGAGCTGAGAGAGTAGAATGAACAGGGAGCCCAGGGAGAAGGTGACCGCAGCACTCCAGGAATTGAGAGTGATTAGCATGGAAAGGAAGTGTCAGTTTCTGATAGTCTTTGAAGGTGGCACTGACAGAGTTTGCTGGCAGACAAGGTGTGGGAGTGAGAGAAAGAGAAGAGACATTACTCAAGTCACGTGACACTCTTAATGTTTTTAGCTGTAGATGGACATAATACCTTCATTTTGTTTATTTATTTTTCTGTGATGCTGAGGATGAAACCCAGTGCCTCACACGTGCGAGGCAAGTGCTCTGCCACTGAGCCACAACCCCAGCCCTACATGGAACTCTTAAAATTAGATCTTGGTTCTGATTTGAATTAGAAATTAGGAATCAGACTCAGGCTAAATTTAAGGATTAGTAGCAATCAATATTGGTGGAGTTTGGCATGGGGAAGACTGGGTTAAGATTCGGGTAAGAGAGCCAGGAACAGTGGTGCATGCCTCTAACCCCAGCTCCTTGGGAGCCTGAGACAGGAGGATTACAAGTTCAAAGCCAGCCTGGACAACTGAGTGAGCCTCCATCTTTAAAAAATTTTTTTTCAGGTAAAGAAACTAGCCTTGGAGTTTGGGTTATGGCATGGTAAAGTATGGGATCAAGCTAAATAAAGATTAGGTATAGAGTTAACTTCCTGATAGTTAGAATCAAAGTGAAGGCTAAGATTATGGCTAAAGTTAATGTTGGGTTTGGCTCTAGGACTGGACTGAGAGTTTTAGATTGAGGTAAGGGTGAATCTCTGGTCAGGGTGAGGGTTAAGGTTTAGGCTAGGAGTAGAATTGGGTTTAGGCTTGGGGTAGAACTGAATTGGTTAAGGGCTGCCTCAGGGTCAGGGTCATTAGAGATAGAATTAGGCCAAGAACAGGATCAGGCCATAGGCCTAATATTAGGGACAAGGACAGACAGACACAGGTTTATGAAAGAAATGGGGTTAGGGATATAGCTGAGGACAGTCAGGTTAGGCCAAGGTAGGGTAAGACTAGGATTGGGATAGGATGATCTTTTAAGTATTAACCGTACTTCTGGCAGGGTCTGGATTGGGTTAAGGTTGTGAATTAATGGGGACAAATGTAGGTGAGAGACAGATGTGAGGGAAAGGGATGGGCATTTAGTGTTGAGCTCTTGTCAGTTTTCTGAATGGAATATAGCTTCAGTGTGGTATGAAGTAAAGGAACACTAGCTGCTGTAACAAACTCTGACATCTCCATAACAACTGTAGGTTTATTCCTGCCTACACAACATACAGTGTGCCTACAAAGGCCAGGCCCAAATTTTGGCTACACCATTGTAAACACAGGCTGCCCAGTGAAGGGAAAGGCAAAAGTACAGTACCTTCCTGTCAGCCCAGAAGTGACACAAATGTCACCTCTGTTAACCTTCCATTTGCAAACACTAGCAACGTGGCCTTTCCCAGCAATGCAGAAAGTGGCTTTGGGATGGGGAGAGGGGGACTAACAGTCCTGGAGGCAATGGGCAAGAAACAGGCTTGATGAGTCTTTAGTTAGCGTTGGGATGGGGAGACTGAGAGGGAACCTTTGCCAAAGGCCTAGAGAGGGAAAGAGCAGAAGAAGTAAGAGACACAGAGCAGACCCCATGAAAGTGGGAAGATAAATCTCAAGAGAGAAGGGGACAAGGACCCAGAAGAAAAGAGAGACAGAGACCAAAGAAGGATGATAGAGACCCAGAAGAGAGAGAGAAAGAGAGAGGGAAAGATGGAGACCCAAGAGAAGATTAAAGACTAAGGGGCCAGTTGTGGTGGTGCAGACAGGTAACCCCAGCAACAGAAGAGCCCGAGGTAGGAGGACCACAAGTTCAAGATCAGTCTCAGACCAGGTGCAGTGGCCTGTAATCCCAGCAGCTCAGGAGGCTGAGGCAGGAGGATCACAAGTTCAAAGACAGCCTCGGAAAGAGCAAGGTACTAAGCAACTCAGTGAGATCCTGTCTCTAAATAAAACCAAAATAGGGCTGGGGATGTGACTCAGAGGTCGAGTGCCCGAGTTCAATCCCCAGCCCATGCCCCCCAACACACATCCCTGCAAAAAAAAAAAAAAAAAAAAAAAAAGATCAGCCTCAGCAACTCAGCAAAGCCCTAAGCAACTAAGTGAGACCCTGTCTCAAAATTTAAAAATACAGAAGTCTAGGGATATGGCTCAATGGTACAGTGCCCTTGGGTTCAATCCCCAGTACAGACAGACACTCACACACATACACACTCATGCACTCACTAAGTGGGTAGAGAAAGCGGATAGAGATCCAGAGTCAGAGGCAGGTGGGAGGCCATGAACAGACACCAAGTGAGCCAAAATAAATCCAAGGAGGGGTGTCTGGAGGCCAGCCAGAAGCTCCTTCGTGTCACCCTCACCTGAGCCACTCTTCCCCTCCCTCGTTAACTATGAGTGACACATTTATGTAATTCATCTTCTTATTTCCATAGATGAAGTGTCATTTTCTCTTTCATTACCGTTAATATTTTTTTCTTTTTATGTTTTGTATCCCAAAGACAAGGGGAGGAGCTTACGCAACCGACAACCCACCTATTTAAACAAACACCACCACTAAACCTAACCCTTTCCTCTCTTGCGATAGAACCCAGGGCTGGGAAGAACTTTGAAGGTGAAGGTAGCAGGTAGCGGACAGACTTTTGGCAAGGGAGATCCCCACACCGCTCCCAGGAGCTTTTCTCCCCCAGAAGGTCCATCCCTGAGATGCTTAAGAAAGCCCACACACTGATAAAGGGAGTTCAAGTGGGCAGAGGTCTCGGGGTCACGTGAGTCTAGCAGCTTCTGCCCGGGCCCCACCCTAGCCTGGATCGGAGCTTTGTGAGGCCCTGAGGCAAGAGGTACCTCGATGTCGCCCCCGCTGGGCAAATCGGAGCCCTGGACAAGGCACTGAGCCGGGACTGGGCGGAGCTGCCCCCGGCCGGCTGCAGGCGGAGCTAGACCTAGGTAGGAGGTGGAGGGGGCGGGCCCTGGGCGAGGAGGCGCAGCGCTCATTGGATAGATTTGGGTTTGGCAGGAAGGCGTAGCTTAACGTTCTTATGCCTGGGATTGGAGGACAATGGAGGGGCGTGGCCATATGGCTGTGGGCGTGATGAGGAGCCCGGTCCTTCAGGATGGAAGTCGAAGCGCTCAGGGATTGGAGGGCTGAGCAGGGACGAGGTTAAGGGAATCCTGGGTTTGAGCAGGCAACGCAGAAGGATGCCAGAGGTAGTTTGTAATTAGTCCTGGGAATGAAGATCCGGAAAGTATCCAGGCGTTCAGGGTGGCAAACAACATCCGATGGACAGAGTGAGACCGATGGACAGAGTGAGACCGATGCACTCTTACTTGGCACACGCAGCAGAACGGCACGCACACAGGACGCGTCTGGTGAGCTCATCACCGTAAGCTAATGTGCATCATCTCCTTGAATGCTCAGAATGCCCTGAGATAGAAACTTTGAAAAAGAAAACAGATTATTTCCACTTTACAGATAAGGAAAGGAGTCACAGAGACGCTAAGTGGCTTCCCCAAAGTTGCACCCCTAGTGCGACGCGAGTTAGGTGGTTGAAGCCATGCAGCCTTCTTCCCGAGATTAAGCTCTGATATTTATCAAGACTCAAATACTCTCACGGACCCCAGGAGTATACACGTGGTAACAACACTATGCACAGGATGACAAGCTCTGATCAGATGACCTCCCTTACCAGCTGTGAAACACCAACCCAGCACCGCCCCCCCACCCCACCCCCACAAGCCTGGCGGGTAATGCCTGACCCAACTGATATTCCCTGCTTTGCCCACCCTTCCTGGCAAAGCTGGGGCCAATAAACAATCAGAATTTCTGGCTGCTGGGCCTCAAATGCGCTAGGGAGACCCTGGACCTGTGTTAGGAGTGGCCTCTTTGACCCCACCCTGAGATTGAGTTGACAGGCATGATTCCTGGCCAGTGGCTGAGAACAGAGACTTCAGGTTTGTCACCCTGCCTTTGCCACTGGTTTCCTATATGCTCATAGGAAAGGCAACTGCCAGTTTTCCCATCTTTATAATGAGTATCATCTTTGAGTTATGAGGACTCAGTTCCCTGCACTCAGAATAGACCCTGGCAAAGATTAAGTGATGTAGGTGTTAACTATTATTTCTAGGCATGACTCAGCTTACCTAAGGAACACAGACCAAACCAGACAGTGTGAACGTGAATATTAAAATGAATGCCCTGTGTCAAGTAGGGCGGGGCCACAGCTGTAATCCTAACAACTGAAGAGGCTGAGGCAGGAAGATTGCAAGTGTGTGAGGCCAGCCTCAGTAATTCAGCAAGACCTTCAGCAACTTTGCAAGACCCTGTTTCAAAACAAAATATAAAGGATTGGGGGATGTAGCTCAGTGGTTTTTTTTTTTTTAAAGGCCCTGGGTTTGATCCAAAATACATATGGACATACATACATAATCCATACATACTGTGAATGTCCTGCAGTCTCACATGAATTTGCATGTGTTTCCATACAGATTTCATTAAATTCTCCAAAGGGTTCCCCAAACAGTGAGAGAACCACAGAGAGAAAAGGAGACATCTCTTTGCATAGCAAGGGTAAAAGGAAAACTTCCATTATGTCACCCTCTGCTTACACCCTCCTTCTCCCGATCATCCCCCCACCTCCCGTCCCCGCCAGTGACTTCCAGAGTAAAATCCATACTACCCACCATGACGTTCCAAGTCCCACTCTGTCAGGCAGCTCACCAGCCTGATCTTGGGGGAACCGGGATGCGCCCCACTTCCTCTCGCCCCCAGCCCTCTCTGCTCATCATAATTATGTTTGGCCTCAGGGGCCTTTTACATTTGCTCTCCCCCTTCTTTCCAGTTCAAGGTGGCCCTAATAACACAGGTGTTCCTCGAACATCCCACCTCAAATAGCCACACACCCTACTTCATCCCACCCCAGTCTTTAACAAACGCCCTGTTTAGAGTTTTCGCAGCACCTATTCGTTCATGTCCACATGCACTGGCTGAGCCTGTGGGCCAGGTGCTGTCCTAGCGGCAGGTGCAGCAGGAGACAAGGCAAAGCCCTCTCCTCAGGGAGCTCCCACTTGGAACCTCCAACTGTTCACACTTGCTGATCTGTCCTTTCCCTTCCCTTCCCACCACCCATCTCGATTCTTAATTACAAAGGGCAGAAGGCACTGTTCAGGGTGCTGACACTTGTTGGACACTACCTTAACCCAGGGATCCGACTTAGCATCACCAATAATGAGGCAGCCTGACATCATGAGCACCCTGATGTGACACCCACACACTCAATGTCAGGACAGGATAGAATTGCCCAGTATCTATACTTTTTAAAATCTCCCAACATGCATACAATAGATTAAGATCATGAGCCAAGCATGGTGGCACATGCCTGTAATCCCAGCAACTCGGGAGGCTGAGGCAGGAAGATCACAAGTTCAAGGCCAGCCTCAGCAACTAAGTAAGGCCCTAAGCAAGTTAGTGAGAACCTATTTGAAAATAAAAAATAAAAAGGGCTGGGGATCGGGGCTGGGGTTGTGGCTTAGTGGCAGAGTGCTCGCCTAGCATGTTCGAGGCCCTGGATTTGATCCTCAGCACCACATATAAATAAAGGTATTGTGTGCAACCACAACAAATAAATATTAAAAAAGGGGGGAGGGGTTGGGGATGTGGTTCAGTGGTTAAGCACCCTTCAGTTCAGTGCAAAATATTTATATAATGCAAGAACAAAAATCAGGGAACTGCTCTAGTTTAAAAGAGACTAAAGAGACACTATAACTAAACTTGAATCAGATACTGGATTTAGAGAAAAACAAAACATTGCCACAAAAAAAATGATTGTAGTTTGGGTCCCTGGGTTTAATACCTAGCACCAAAAAAAAAAAAAAAAAAAAAAAGACACTAGTTGGGAAAATTTGGTGTTGAGTTGCATATTTGGTAACACTACTTTATCGATGTTAAATTCCCTGAAGTGCATCATTATAGTACAGCTATGCAGGAGAATGTTCCTCTTGTAAAGAGACGGGTGCATGCTGAAATGTTTATCCTGGAGTCTGGAATTTTCCATTCCTTCAACCAAACAATATCTACGGGATATATAGATACATGATTATGCATAAATATTGCATTATTTACATAGTTACCTATCTACTATAGCTGGATATATATATATATATATATATATATATATATATATACACATGTGAGAGAGAGAGCAAATGTGGCAAACGTAGCTTCTGTGTACTAGATTATTATTTTTCTGTAAGTCTAAATTTTTTGAAACTAAAAGGTTGGAGGAGGGAAGAAAAGGAATCAGGTTGCTGGCTCTCTGAACGTGGCTGGGGTTGTGCTGCAGGCCATCGGTGTGCCAAATGGTATGAGGGTGTTGGATTTTTCTGGGCATGAGGACACAGCTTTCATCAGATTCTCAAATAAGCCCATGTCTCAAGAATATTGGATACACTCCATGAAGGGCATCTCACCTGGGGAGCACAGACTAAATAAGGCAGTTCAGGATCCCCTGAAGTTGTTCACAAAAAATCTTTTGCAGCATCAGTAAGGCCTTGGGTTCAATCCCCAGCACCAACCAACCAACACAACTTGGATATTTGGCCCTGGTGTGGGTGTTCGTGTCTCTCCAAAATCCACATTGAAACTTCATTCCCAAACAACAGTATTAAGAGGTAGGACCTCAGGGAGGTGACTAGGCCACAAGGGGTACCCTCAAGGATGGGATCAGGGCCCTTAGAAGAGGGCTTAATGGAGAGGGTTCCTCCTGGTTGCTTCTGCCTTCTCCAGTGCGAGGATACAGCATTTCAAGGTGCCACCTTGGAAGCAAAGACTGGACCCTCACCAGACACTGAGCTTGCCAAGGCCTTCATCTTGGACTTCCCAGCTTCCAGAACTGTGAAAATAAATTTTCTTGTTTACAAACGACCCACTGTCTGGTATTTTGTTATAGCAACAAAACTGAACTAAGACAGAGGGCATGAATGCTTCTAGGAAACAGATCCATAACTTTTGAAGAAAATTCTAAATAGAGGACTCCCCTCTGCAAAAAATATACCACCTCCTGGTAGGGCTATGCGTGATTACCTGGCAGAGAATCAGAAGAAAATATTAGAATGTGGCTTCCATTTACTTTCAACTGGTCCTTTTTAATTTACAAATGTGGAGAGGTTGCAGATGTATAGCGTACATAAAATATCAGTTAAGGAAAATTCATTTACACTTGTAAACAAACATACCTGATAGTGTATTCATGAAAAGAATTCATTGATGCCATGGAAATTATGAAACAACTGAAGAAATTTGAACCGTTGACATTTAAATATTTGATAATATAAAGAATTATGATCAGGGCTGGGGTTGTGGCTCAATGGCAGAGCGCTTGCCTAGCACACGTGAGCCACTGGGTTCGATCCCCGGCACCACATAAAAATAAAAACAAATAAAATAAAGGTATTGTGTCCATCTACAGCTAAAAATTTTTTTAAATTATGATTAATGTTTAGGTAAAATATTATATCATTTTTATGAAGTTGAAATTATCCTTGTATATGTCATACTTGCAACTGAAGCTAAAGTTTCTCTACCACCAGTCCTTTTTATTTTTTATACAGAATAGGGCTGAGGCCGGGTGCAGTGGCACACGCCTGTAATCTCAGCAGCTTGGGAGGCTGAGACAGGAGGATCTTGAGTTCAAAACCAGCCCAGCCAAAAACGGGAGCCCTAAGCAACTCAGTGAAATCCTGTCTCTAAATAAAATAGAAAACAGGGCTGGGGTGGCTGGGATTGTGGCTCAGCAGTAGAGCACTCACCTAGCACGTGCAAGGTCCTGGGTTCGATCCTCAGTACCATGTAAAAATAAATAAGCAAAAGTATTGTGTACAACTAAAAAATAAATATTAAAAAAGAAAGAAAGAAAATAGAGCTGGGGATGTGGCTCAGTGGTTAAGTGACCCTGAGTTCAATCCACATTACCCCTCCCCACAAAAAGAATTTCATTAAGTTGCTGAG